TAATCCAGTGACTTGATCCAAAGTCAATACCTGGCCATATCAGAGGTGAACAAAAAATTTGGAAATTTGAGTTACTAAAAGGAAATAACTGAAACTAGGATAAACTGGAAGATGTATGACACATGGAACTCAAACAATCTACCCTGGTGGACGAAATAAAGGGTTTTGCTTGAAATTCCAAACGCCTGTAGACAACTGCAACATCATGAATATGATAACAAAGATGAGGACAACAGTCCAAACAATGTAATTAATATAAATGCATTTCTTAATATTTACATAAAAATTCTGTAACAAAATGCATATGTAACAAAAATGTATCTGTAAATTTTGTTAATGTCTTGCAGAGATGAAACATTTGAACTTTATTGTATGCAGTTCTTACATTTTGGTCACACCTGGTCTATAGCATCTAGTTAAATGTTAGCTTATAATATACAACACTGCAAATAGATCTTACACATCATTAAATAGTAGTAATCAAAAGGTAAATATTTGTTCAAATTTAATCTAGAAATTAGTTTGGTTTATTTTTTTTTACAAGAGCACTTTTTCTATTTATACACTAGGGATGCACAAATCAATTATCTAATTAAACTCCAATGACTGTAATGTGTCTTGGGTAAAAATGAAAGCTCAAGATTGATGGCCAGCTTTCATTTCATTTGTAACTAAGCCAAATTCAATGGTCGTGTTAAGTGATCTTGAAGAGAGTCTCTTCTGGAATAAGAGTCTCTTCCTACACAAATATTCTTGGACCTGCCAAAATATGATAAGTTCGTAGGGTGACATATAACAAAAAATGCCTAAGAGAGTCAATAAAAACATCTGAGTGTACACCTGCTTGTGTGAGTGGTTGACTGTTTTGTTTCTATTGATAAATGTTTGTTTGTTTGTTTAGCAGCATATCAACACCTTATGGGTCATTTAATGCTGAAGTTTAATTTTCTTGGTAGCTTTAGTAATTTTGTTTTCCAAAAATGTATTGCTGGTATTATTTATTTATTTTTAAAAAATGTATTACTGATAATATTATTTTATTTTTATTTTATTTTTACAAAAATGCATTGGTGGTAATATTTTGTTTACTTTATTTTTTTACAAAAATGTATTGCTGGTAATTTTTTTGCTATGAAAATGTATTGCTGGTATTTTTATTTTAGAAATGTATTTTTATATTTTCTTAGTGTTTTGACCTCAGTCTGGGGGCTAACAGTTTGCACATAACTGGAAACTTAACAGGTGCTACCACCACGTGTCAGCTGTTAAGAGGGGGTTCCACACTGCTCAAAACCTCCTTGCTACAAGATGTAGTTTATCATCATACCCAGGATGATCTATTGATAAATAATTAGTCATACAAGAGAAGTTTGCTACTATAATAGATCTTTATTAAAATATGTTCAACAATATGGATTAGTTGAATCTATCATATGACAAATATGACACTCCTTAAAATCAAATAGCAGAAAAATATGTGTAATTTTAAATCATTTTTTGATATCTAACATCATATCTCATTGTTCTGGCGTGATAATATATATATATATATATATATATATATATATATATATATATATATATATATATATAATCTCATTATTATATATATATATAATATATATATATATATATATATATATATATATATATATATATAATAATATAAGTAATTATACTCATCTGAAAAAAACTTAGGTGTTTTGGCTTGTAAAGGAACAAACCAATACCCAAGGAAAAATAAGGGACAAAAAAAGAAAGAACTAAGAACATGTAATTGAGGCAAAAACAATCGTTCAGAATCCAAGCTCAGAGTCTAAAGAAGAAAACCTTGAAGACGAGTAAAGCAAAAGTAACTAAGTAAAGTGCTCAATACACTAATGAACCTAAAGAGCCAGGCAAACCTACCTAGGTTTCACCTATGCAAATCGTCAGGGTACGCTGGCCAAAGAGGTAAATTGGAACAGAATATATATATAGCCTACAACATAAAAACAACCATGACCATGTGACTAAAAAAAAACAGGAAAAAAACAAATAAAACAGTAACTCAACAAAGGAGGGGGGGGTTAAATTCATATTTATTCAATAACTAAAACAATAACAAATATAAAAAAAAAGAAAAAACGAAAAAGAGAAGAAAACCAAACCTATTCTAATAATGAGCGTTTCTTATATCTACACTTACTCAAGATTTCAGATTTAAGATTTAGCAAATTATCGGGGAAACCTAGGTAGGTTTGCCTGGCTCTTAGGTTCATAGTTATGTGTGTGTGTGTGTGTGTGTGCGCGCATGTGCATGTGTGTGTGTGGGAAATAAGAACAGGACATAAAATATGATGGGGTAAAAATGTGGAAAGAATTTCACCAAATCCTATGCATATATTATTTTTTTATTATCCTGATTTGAAGTAAGAGACTTTGCAACAAAATGCCTTCCTCTTGATAAAATTCTTCATTATGTTTAGTACAATGTTTATAAATATATTCATTATCATTTTGCAACATTATTATTGTTGTAAGGAAATAGCTGTTTCTATAAGTCTGATCTTGCAAGAAGGAATATACAATGAAATTACAATAGATTCTTTAATGAAATTCTTTATGAGGTGACCTTCTACAAATATTGAGGGTAGACTTTAACTACACGAGTGACTTACTGACATTACCTGCTTGCATCTTCTGCATAAATATGTTGAGTGCACATATTCTATCTATTGATTTAGCTGAAATTGTGCAGTATTGTTCAATGAATGCACACTTTTGTCCTGGATTAAGGGAAGTGACAGACTTGGAAGTAGGCAAAGTGCACATTTTATTATTGATCTAAATATAGAGACATTATATGTGTTGAGCTATGTAATTCACTTTGAACTATATCTAGTTTTTCTTGCCTTGTCTCTATACATTGTTTACTGAATATTTTAGACTTTCTTTTAATCTTACTTGTCTTTCTGTCATGATATATAGCAACAAAACTGATTTTCTGGTACTGAGGAGTCCATAGCTTTTTTAATTTTTCTACATCAGCCATGTAAATGTATGTAAACCAACACTCATCATTAATCCAGGCTATGAATTTCGATTGTCTTTCCTAGTTTTTCCAATGTTTGTTCTTGGGCACATAAAATGCGGGCTAGGAAAATTTGATACTCACAGGTCAGATTGAAAATAACACATTGAGTAAATGACAAATATGACACTCCTTAAAGACAGGGTTTAGTAGAGATAGCAAAAAGAAAAAAAATTATTAAAAGCTACAAAGGACAGGAAATTGTGGAGAGCCATGATCACCAACATCCTGAAAGGTCATGGCACATAGAAGAAGAAGAAGAAGAAGAAGAAGAAGAAGAAGATCAACAAAGAATCCGTATTTACTTCTTTTGCTTTTTTATATATTTTGTTAGTTGATTGGCTACAAGTTTGAAGCTATTTACAAATTATAGTGCAGTTAAATTTTTCTCAACAATTAAACCTTTACTTGGGTCAGTATTCTTTTGATGGAGCATCTGCATTCATGCTTGCGTTACAAGGTTTTGTTGTAACCTGTCAGCATGTCACCTTTTTTAAAAACAACTGGAAGAAAAAGCGTAACCAGTCATTGCAATATTGAATCTAGTTATAAAATGACTGAGGCTCAGATGACTAGGATCAAGGTGTAGAATCTGTTCCACCATCATTATCTTCAGCTTATCATTATCCTGCAGCTATGGTATGCAATAAACTGTCCTTTTCAGGATAAAGCTCTTCAGCAACTACTAAAAATGTCCTTCTCAGGACAAAGCTCTTCTCTCCTTTTACATGACAATACAGAGATGTTTCTTTTTACCTAATGCATTGTAAACTTATTTTTGGTGATCTTTAATGAAAATAAAGTTGGTAACATATTTTAGATATAACATAGAGGAGGCATGGTGGTGTAATGGATAACGGCTCAGATTGAGGAATCGGAGAGATGAGTTCGAATTCCAGTTGAATCTATTACATTCACTTACATGTTAAAACCCATGGGAAAGGTATCAATCCTCTTCTTCTATAGGTAAATAGCAGGACAGACTGGTTTCTATAGCCTTGGATAGCAATTGGTCTACTGCAGAAAGAAATGGCAACCTACTGCGGGAAAAAATCTGCCTCGTCAGTCATGCATGGCACATAACTGACTAAACATATTTTTAGTCAAGTCTTCATTTTGTTTATTGTTACCTTCCATCATTCAATATTTGTTTGCATGCCAATATACTGCCTGAAACAGGCTAATTGTAAGTAAAATAATCTTACTAATTTAAGCAACCATTTGTGATACCAGCACCTACTAGGTAAATTAGTCTGGTGCATACAATAGTTTCAAATATCTTCCTTCAATTCTTCTTCTTCTATGTTCCACGTCACTTCAAGACATTGGCAATCATGGCCCTCCACAATATTCTATCATTTGTAACTCTTAGTAAAATTTGTCTTGACTTGAAGAGTTTAATTATTGTAGTGTTCAGAGAAACATCAATGCAGGAGTCGGTTCCATGAAGAAGCAGTATTTGGGAAAAAAGTTGTTTGAGTGGAACTTTCACATTACCTGCGTATAAATAAGGATACAATTCACTTCTTAAAACACATTTACTTGAGACTCATGACTCAAAAGCTTTGAACTACACACAACCTAAGTTTTAGTCATTTTGTCCATAATAACCACTTATTCACACATTAGAAAAAAAAAAACATTGAATTTAAGACATAAAATATCTATTGTTTTTAACAAGACATGTTTAAAAGAAGAATTGTTTCCCAAATGTACAGAATTTAAATAGACATACACTGTGTTAGCCTATGCATATTTAAAGAAAGAATAATAATGTAGAGTTAAGACTGATACTTGCTCATTTTTTTATTGGTTGGGAAGAAATTTCATCATGCATCTGTAGAATTTGTCTATAAATTTGGGGAAGGAAAGTTTTTAGACAATCATTCCAAGATGATTGTAACAAATAGCCTAATCAATTGAATGAATGAGTACACTCATTCCCTACCCCACCTCTATAGTATTAATAAATAAAAATACATATAAATGTTTATAATGTTTTCGTTTTTTATATTTTCCTTTTTTAACAATTTGTTTTTTATATATTTTGTATATTTTTAAAAATTTTTTAATATATTTTAATTTATTAGTTTTTTTTTAATCACAAAGGTGAGTAGAGGAAAAAGAAAAGATGTGGATAGAAAATGGCAAGCAAAAAATTCCGGATTGTGCTCTGTTCAGAGCATTAAAAGATTTCTTTAATTTTACTCTGCTGATAGACTTTGTAAATAAATCAGCAATATTTTATTCTGATAGAATCTAATCCAACTTTCTTTTGCCATGGAAGGCAAGCAGCAACCATATTTGCAAATGATATTTCTACAGTGAAAAAAAAATAAATAGAAATAAAATAGCTATAGACATGTTTAAAAGAACAATTTCTGCCAAAATATACAGAAGATATAAATAATCAAGATCTATTTGTTTTAAATAATATATGATATATTCACTGAATGTATTTATTGCTTAGTTTCTCCATTGTCTTATCCAATCCAATTATCTATTAATATATGTATCGTTTAATCTGCCTTCTCAGTCTCTTCCTGATTTACTTTTGTGTGCATTCTGTTCTAATTCCTCCTCCTTATATTTAGTTTACCAAGTATTCAAATAAGTTTACGTGAACAACAGTTGCAACCTAAAATCAACCCACCATTTCTTTGCAATGTATGAACAATGAGTTTACATATATGTTGGTCTTCAAGAGCTTCCAGAATCACAGCTACATTATTGGATGAAGCAAAAATAAAAGCAATTATTAATATTGATTTGGGTTGAAGGTGTAGCAATGATCAATCAGCTTTCTCTAAAATCACATCTAAATCCTGACAAGCATAAAAAATTAACAAAACACAGCCACAATGCTTCATTAATGCTAACAACTTGCTTGACTTCACTTTGAACAGTTGAGATTACTCATTTATTTCTGGAATTTTTTTTGCCCATCAAAATTGATCTTCACCTCTTTTGTTTATTTTTATTTCTTCCTAGACTTTCTTACAATTATTTTTTTTTTTTCTGAAGTCGTTGTTTACATTGTCCTTTTCTTTTCTTGAAAAATAACTCTATTTTAGCTTTACTCTTGTTTTCATTTTTATCTTCTCAATATATTTTTCTTTTTCCTTCTCTGTGGGAATTTTACATTTTTTCTTTTTTATTTGTCATTTCTTTTTTTTCTTCATCATTTTCCTTTTCTTCCTCTTCTTCATCATTTTCTTTTACTTTCTCTTCATTTTTTTTTCTTTCTCTTTTTCATTGTTTTCTTTTTCTATCTCTTTTTCATCATTTTCTCTTTTCATTCTCTTCTTCATCATTTTCCTATGCTTTCTCTTCTTCATTGTTTTCCTTTTCTTTCTCTTCTTCATCATTTTTTTCTTTCTCTTCTTCATTAATTTCCTTTGCTTTCTCCTCTTCATCATTTTCCTTTTCTTTCTCTTCATTTTCTTTTTTCTTTCTTTTCATTTTCTTTTTCTTTCTCCTCTTCATCATTTTCTTCTTTTTCTATCTCTACATTCTTGTCTTTTTTTTTCCCCTCATCCTTTCATCCCTTCTATTTTTTCTTACTTGTCACTTCTATCTCCTTTTCTTCAACATTTTCTTTTGTCTTTTTCTACATTTCAGTTTTTTATTTTTCATTCTTGTCATTTCTCTCTCCTTTTCCATCATTTATCTTTACATTATTTTCTCCTTATTTTTACCTCCTCCCTTCTTCAATTCTTTTTGTTTACGCCTTTTTCTTTTCTCTCCACTGTTTTACTTTTCTTCATTCATATAATCTTTTACTTTTAATCCTTATAAATATCATTTACTTAATATTTTCCCTTACCATAATTTTTTTGTTTTTTTATATTACCTCATTTATACATTAATTCTTTTTTTCTTCCTTACCCTATTTTATCTTTTTCCTTTTTCTGTACATCCATTTTCTTTTTCTTCCATCATTCTTCAATTACATTTCAGTATTTAATTATTTGTTTATATAGTCAGTCACCTTTTTTCATTCTATCATTCAAAATGTTTCTCATATCTCCTTTTACCAGGTTTTCTTTAACATTTTTCTTATTGATTTTTCCTACAATCATTTATTCATTTTTTTATTCCTGCTTAATACTTTGATTTTTCAAAACAATATTTTTTATTTTCTTTGATGGAAATAAGTATATCATTTATCTTTCTCTATATATATATCTATCTCTCTATCTCTATCTATCTTGCTCTCTCTAGCTATATATCTCTATCTCCCTAACTATATATTTCTCTCTATCTATATATCTCTATCTCACTCTATCTATATATATATCGCTATATATCTCTATCTCTCTATCTGTCTCTATCTGTTTATCTATCTATCTATCTATCTATCTATCTTTCCCTTTATATATCTATCGCTATATGTCTCTCTGTCTCTCTCTCTATCTATCTATCTATATCTATATATATATCAGTACTGATTGTAGACTTTTTTCTATCTATCTATCTATCTATCTATCTATCTATCTATCTATCTATCAGTACAATAAATATATTCATATCTTCCATACATTTGTAAGTATTAAACATTAATTCTGAATGAAGATTGTCAGAAATAGTTGGAAATTATTTTTTACACTGCTCTGATCTCTTCACAGATCAGCAGTTTCTCTTTAATTGCTGTGTACTTGCAACTTCAGGAATTTTTGGACTCTTCCCAAACCACCAATATCGTTCTTAATTGCTAATCTGTTTAAATTGATGAAACATAAATTTTCCTATTTTTCATTCTTAAATATAAAATTGATTTTCGATTCAGCTGTATGTTCCTTTGCTTTTCTCTGTTAATTTGAATAATTTTTTTTGAAAGAAAAAATCTGGAAGAATTTCTATGATCTTCAAGTGCACAATGTTGTCTTTATAGTTGTCTTAAAATATTCATCTTTTAATTGACTAAGTCAGATATAAAATTCTAATCTTAAGTGAAAGACTGGGGAAAATCACAGCATTGTAATGATTATAATCATTATTATAATCATAGATACAGAAATTGTCCTTTCTCATTTTTTATGTTCTATTAAATATGTTCCTTTGCAATTTTTTGTAATGTTAAAAGTTTACTTAACATAATACACAATGGTTAGTATTATACAGCTACAATAGGCTAAAAAGATTTTTTTAATATATAAACTTTTAGTGTTTTCTTCTAATTTGATTTACTTTATGGAATTATAATATTCAGAACTCTGAAATCATATCTGTATGTTATTAAGTAAGCAGAATATTTTTCATGTACTAATTTTTACAATCATCTGATTTATGGATATTGGTTCTAACATTATAAGTTAAAAATATATACACTTTTACCTATTGTTTAATATTAAAGATTTCCATTTTCTTTGTTGATTGTTGTTAATGAATTTCAGTTGCTAAGAATTTAGTTTTGATATTATTAATCAAAATCCCTTCTCTACATTTTGGACCACATGTTTCATGGTATTGTTGATCTTGTTTCTGTTGTAAGTATGTTTTTATTGGATAGAGCTGCCAACTCCATGCTGAAGTGGTTTTGAATTTCAATTTTCCTTCTCCTAGATTGGTTTCTGTTATGGGACCTACTTTTATGGACTAAATGGACTCGTCCTATTACTATATTATGCCTCTCAAGAGAGCTTTCTACAGTTGACGAGTTGACTACTGTACTTTGCTGTCAGTCGGACGTGCAACACTTTTATATTTGTTCTTTTTGTTAATAATATGTTTTCACTAAATTGCTGAGTTTGAGTTTTCTTTCAGATCTATTCTGGGTCCACAACAGTTTCCAACTATGGCTAGAGAACCCAAACTGTCCTGCTATTTAACCTATAGTGTTCATCAAAATACTTTACATCATTCATCAAAATAAAAAATAAGTTATAAGAAGAATTATTGTAGAACGAAACAAGATCATTTCTGTGATGAGTTACAGACAATAAAGTAGTGATTCTTTGACTATGTACTGTGTTCCTTCTGGACATGGGCAATCATGACTATTTACAAGTTCCTGTCCTTTGTAGCTCTTAGTAAGTTCCGTCTTTTTGATATCTCTCCTAATCCCAACGAGTTATAGCTCGTTATGTAAGTATCCACAGCTTTTCTCTATCTCTCTTGCCTTCAATGTTTTATGAATATCAAATTCTCCAAGCCTTTTTTCCTCATTACATGCCCTAGAAATTTGAAACTGTCTCTTTCTGATTCTAAGTGTAAGTGTCTTTTTTTAAAAAATGTTGGTTTAGGTTTATATCCTGACTTTGAATACATTATACTTTAAATAATGAGAAAATTGTGGTTGAATGTCATATCATGATAACATTCTTAATTGCCTTTTTCTACTGCCTACATTGTTATTCACCAAGTGAATAACTGAACATTGAATAAAGACCTTCTAATTATGCCTCCACCACCATTATCACTGCGGCCAACACAATCGCTGTCCATCATCATTGTCATTGGCAGTGACAGCACTAGCATTATCATTATTCTACTTTACATTAGTATCATGTACTATTTCTCTTTCATTTAACACAGTTCTAAATATAAGGAAAAAAATGAAAATAAAATAAACCCATGTTTGATTTATCTGACTCATAGAATGGGACAGCTTATTGACAGATACTATTGTTGAACACAGTTCACTCGCTGTTGACCTTTAACTGCTTTGATCATTCCGAGGCTCTGCAATTTTTCCTTCAATTCTTTTTTGGCTACACTGACAGATTTTCTCTCTTTGCCGATTTTCCTTTAGTTTTATTTTGTCTGCATCCTCATCAAGTAACATAAGTGATTCAGAATCAAAGCTCTTCTCTTGCCATTATCACTGTTGCAAGCACAACCTTCAACACTATTATTATTGTTACTGCCATAACTAGAATTATTCACCATTAACACCATCAACATTTTCAACTCATTCTAATTCTAAAATGATGCTCACTGTCACAATATTCATTACTCTTACTAAAATACATGTCTTCCTCCATTACTATCACTATACTATTATTATGATTATGTCAGTAATCTATGCAGGTGATGTGATGGATAACAAATCAGAATGAGAAATTAGAGAGCAGAGTTCAAATTCCAGTCAAGTTCATTACATTCAGTTATGTGCTAATACTCTTGAAAAAGGTATGAATCCATCATCTCTCCCTCTAGCTATGGCTTAAATAGCAAGCCAAACTGGGTCTTATGGCTTTGGTTGGCAAATAGTCTACTGCAGAACATAGCAAAAGCCTACTACTGGAATTCTTTTACTATGTCAATCATGAATCAAAGGGAGATGTTATCACCAAAGTGTGTATCAGACATGGCACCTATAAGGAAAAAAGAAAATCTTTGATTAAAGTCTCTTAACTACTGGTGCATTTTCATATCTTACTATTTTCACATGTTAATTAATCAGAATTAAAATTCTTTTATAGCCTATATTACTTCAGGATGTGGGAGATATTTTCAACCAAGTTAAAGATGATTTCACTGACTGAATAGATTTTGTGATCTGCTTGGATGATGATGGCACCTTTGATGTATGGTGTTTCACTTTTTCAGGTATAACAGGTTTATTTATGTATTCATTTATTAAATCCATTTGTGTGATGTAAGTTCCACTCAAGTTGCTTCTTACCACAAACTGCTGCTCTGTGGACCAACTCCTAAGAGAAGGCTTTTCTGATCACTACAATCTTAACCTGTTCAAGTCTAGGGTTAACTGCCATCTTTTCCACATATCTGCACAAACTGTGCCACTTATTCTGTAACCCTTCATCTTGAGTGAATATTGTACAGGGTGAATCTTATTGTAAAAAAAAGATCATGGCTCTCCAAAAATCTTGACTGTTTACCATCTCTCACAGTCCTTGCTCCACTATACATTCATAGAAACTCATTAGGTAGGTTAGTCACTGCTTCCATCTGTCCCCAGTGCTTTTAATATCTCGTGTGAGTATAAAATTCTCCAAACTCTCTTTCCTTAAAATTTATCCCCAAAATATTTCCTGGTTTTAAGTATCCTATTTTCTTTAAAACTTCCATGTTTTGTCCATGATCTCTGTTGCTTCAATTCTCCTTTTCATCTGTAAGAAAATTGTCCAGAATTCACTGCCATACAGGAGATATGAAAATTACATTAAAAACAAATTCCTATCTCTGAAGAATTTTAGTTTCTGTAAAGCACCTTCCTCTATTCTATTTATTTCTAAACTATGATGACAGTTAAATTTCTGGCTAGACATCTAAATAACCAGAAAAACCTTTAGCTTCCAGGCCTTTATCATAAAAAGCTATATTCTTTCATTTGTATTTTATTATAAAAAATAATGATCATATTTTTCTTTTGACTTTAGAATAAATATTCTTCTGAGAATTGATGTTGAATTTTATCAAACACACATATTTTGCCATTATAACTGATGACACTAATTATAATTATAAAAACAGCATAGAATCATTAGAAGAAGTTAACCATCTGAGCCACCATTAGTAATGAAACTAATACTATATCTTGGGTGATATAGTTTGTGTGTTTGTTAATTAACAGTTTATTTTTTTACTGAAAAATGAAGAGTTCATTGAAATAACCAAGATGGCATCTAAGTCATAAAGATTGAAGGAAAATAATATAAAAAGTGTTAGAATGTGTTGAAAAAATGCGGCATAAATTTTTAGAGTTTCAATGTAGCAAACAATGAAAGTTAATTAAATGCCATCACACAATATTATTTCAAATTTATTTTTATAATCTTCTGTACAAATACAAAGTATAAAAAAATGTTAGTTTTCACCATTGTCATTGATTTCAATTATAAATATTATAAGAGGAAATAGCTACATTTATAGAAAATGATCAAGCATAAGATTTCCTTGGGGAAAAAGTTCTAACCGATATCTACAGAAAAAGAAGTTCAATTCCATTCAACTGTCACCAGAAGTTAAAAAAAGAAAGAATAAAATAGTGAAAGAAAAATATCTTTCACTTTTTTATGACAATTCAACCTCATAAATACCAGGTGAACCATTATGAGTCGATACCAATGTGTGTGGAGGGATGTCTGATTTCTTCATAATGATATAAAATCTGGTGATTATGGTTCAAATTTCATAATGCTTGGATGTCATTTCTTGCATCCACTTCCTACAACCTTCTTTTCCACACATACCTCACACCACATTCATCATTACCATTTAAACTGTAACCTGCTATCTTGAGTGGTTCTCAAGCCTTGGGTGAAATAATAATAATAGTAATTTTCTTTATTCTCTAAACAGTTCACTACATATCAAACTTGACAAATAAAACCAGGATCTTGCATAAAGATAACTAAGGTCATTATTGTCAACACTGATCAGCTGAAGCTTGTATATCTGGTGGGGGCTTTTTCCAGAATGACTCTTGTTATATGGGCAGAGCCAGCAGATAACCTGTGAGTTAATGAAAAAGCAGAAATAACTAAAAATAAATAAGAATCATAAAAACCAGATAATAAAAGTTGAGAGAGAGAGTTTATATTTGAAATGTTTGTAGTTCTATGTAATAAACGTTGCAGGCAATAATATATAAGAGAAAGAATTCATCATTCCAAGTCAGAGCCTCAAGTTTTGTTCCCTACTCTTCCTGACTATCTAGTCTACAGCTTTATGATGGAAAATATGTTTATTTTATACAACAAATATTTATCTTTGAACATTATCTGCTTCCTTGTTATGTAACGCAGTGTTGTACACAGATTGAATATTATACAATGAAAATTTCAGATCAAAATACAGACAATAGCATTTCACATAACTGGCAATGCTTTAGCTGATAGATCAACTAAGTTAGCCATCTATCATTTCTATTGTATACACATTTCCCACTTACAAATTGTTAGCCTCAGTTTTACATATATAGGAAACTATTCTGGTCTACAATGGCTTGCTTCTATTAGACTCAGTGTATAAAAATAAAACTTTCTTGGGCACTTGGCTCATGCCATAATCTGTAAGGAAGCAAAGATAGATATTGAATTATCTGAGGTAACACTGTCATCTGTACCCAGAGGGGAAGTGAACTGTTGCATCACTATTCAGTATAATACAGATAAATCTTAATGTTACCTTTTCTATCTCTTATCAAACCCTATTTTCTAATTCTTCTCTTTCTTAGCATAATATTCTCTCAGATTCCCTCAGCACTAAAGGTGACATCAAGCAAGAGTTATTACAGCAAAGATCTATAAGTAACCAAGTGTTGGACACAAAAGAAAACAAAGCAAATATCAGAAAGGGAAAATAACAAAAGGCTAAGAGAAAAAAATAATGCCAAAGCTTAATTAGATAGTGTGGTCTCCAAAAGTAAAGTATAAATTCTGGAGATGGTATGTTCGTAATCATACTGTTGGTTGTCTTGAGCGTGCAAGCCTCTAGGTGATTGTTATTAGAGTTAGAAAATATTTTTTCTTCATTTTCCTAACATCAGCAATCTATTCTCTGGGGAAGAAACTGGTGAATATTGTTACGTAGATGGTAAGCAGGATACTACACAATGTCTGTTTGCATCCACTGTTCATGTGTATCCAATGTTTAAGTTATGTGCACACATATGTATTGTGACCTCAACTCTGGGTCATGGTGGAAAAGGCAGAAAGGGGGCAGGATTATTACAGATCAGATCCACTACATTAGGTCATTTACTGTTCCCGCTTCTTTCTGTGGGCAGGAAAATAAATGACCTAATGTTGTGGACCTGTAAGTAGGAGAAGGAAACTGGATCAGTTACCATGACTGACATAGCTTTGTTCTCCTTCTTACAGAGACATATCTTATTATATTATTCATGTATGTATGTATGTATATCTATAAGCAATGTAGTCTGTAAATAAAATGTCATAAAAGCTTCCATTTTAGTTCAGCACTCAAGGAAGTAAAATGGGTAATTGGTGGGGTTGGTCAGTAACAAACTACTGAATCAACTTGCATGTGCATCGCTTATATATTCCTCCATATATATTTACCTTTACTTATGCATGCATGAAAGAAATTCTTGCAATCTTTAAGGTGACAATGAGAAAACTGTGTCCAAGAGCTACTGTGTAAGAAATATGTTAAGTAAGATTCAAATAAGTCAACTAACCTGAGAACAGCCTCAGTAGAGAGAAAAAAAATCTTCATCATATTGATTGCATGTAACAGTATTAAAAAGATACCTTAATACTGCTTGTCTTTAATATAATGTGCATGTCCTTAATATAATGTGCATGTGTGCACATGTGGTTATATATTTTATCATTCTTTCACTTTCATTTTTATGTCATCCAAATTCAGAGAGAAGTGCTTACTATAGTTTCCCTTCTTTTCCATTCACAGTTTCCTTTGCTTGGATGTTTACACCTCACTAGAGACTATGTAGAGAGCATCTTGTTTATCTGACTTAATAGGAATAGATAGGTTTGCCAATCACTCAGTTCCTGCACCTTCCTGATCTTTGAACAGGAGTAAAATTTTATCCCTTGTTTCCTATTTATTTATTTTTCCAGTTTTCTCAGTAGCCCCTTACATCTTTGCTTGGAGTGAAATGATTAAAAAACAAAAAAAAAAAAACTTCTGATACACTACTTATGTGTGGGCTACTGTCCTTTGCTACTGTTGTTATCATAATGTTTCAGTTGTTGTACAGCCAGGCTTCATCAGATATGTGAATCCAGATAACCTACAAGAATTCACATAGGACAATAGCCTAGTGGATTTAAACATTGATTCATAGATTTTGTAACATAATAATTGTGAGTTCAATCCCTGAGCTGGGTAATATGTACTTGAGATCACTGGAAACAGGGTGAGTACTAACATGAAAAACAATAAGAACTAGATGAGATATCTCTAGATATAGGCAATGGAATGAGAACGTTCTCCCCTCATAGATTAAATAAAGGTTAAGTCCAGAATTTTCTGTAGATTACTAGGATTGACATAAGCCTGATGAAGGCCAGAGTGTACAATGGCTGAAACATTATAACAACAACAAAGATGAGGACAATAGCCTATATGTAAATAGTGTAAATAATGTTAACTCTTCATCTCAGAAATTCAGACAAAAACTAGTTCTACTTAAATATCACATCTCCAGATTTGCATTTTGCAACTATGTTGCAAATCAGACTAGCTCAAAATTTTGTGCATATTCACCCATTCCAGACTTTATTCCCAAGTTCAGCATTTATCACCTTTCAGAGCCTGTCTGATCATAGAATAATGCCTAGTCTTTGTCTGATCATGGCAAAGTATAAGAGAAAATGTTCTATCTCCTTAAATCAGTCATCCTGTGTATGATGATAAACTACATCTAACAGAAAGGCTTTTGATCAGGAGATTTTGAGGAGTGTAGAACAACCTCTTAATAGCTGTTGTCCCCAGGTTCACCATGACGTGGTGTGGTAGCACCTGTTAGGGTCCCTTCTATGGGCAAATAGTTAACCCCCAAACTGGGGTCAAAAAATGATGAAAGTATAAAAAATTTTATAGTTATACCAGCAATAAATTTTCATAATAAAAAAATTTCAAATAATACATTTTTGTCCAAAAAAAATATATTACCAACAATATATTTCTGTAAAAAAGAAAATTATCAGCTTGTAAAAGAAATTACTAATGTTCCAAGAAAATTAAATTTCAGCACTAAATGACCCACAAGGAGTTGATATGCCACTAAACAAACACCTACAAACACCTTAACTCAATATGACTTTCCACTTTTATCAGCAAGCTTGTATAAAACTATTTTCCTATTTAGTGACTCAGCTTGTTAGCATAGAAATGATCTCATGTTAAACAAACTGAACTGCTTTCTGATTACATCCACTATAACAGCAAGTATCTGACTATATCTCTATATGTACATACTGAGTGCTGCTTTCCACCCTACAAAGATATATTCTAGGGTTCTTCATTCCTACACAAGTTGAAAGGCTTGAGCTGTATTAAACCTTATTGCCTTAAGGTTATCTGGCATGGGTAGTAGATTGTATATACACTCAGCATCATTCCAGTTCAGTGAGGTTTCCTTGCCAATAGATCATTCCATGACAACTGACATTTGATCACTGATTCCCATACAATCCATGTGCCCTTCTCAATTCAGTTTTCGCTTTCAGTGATTATCCCCCCACTTTACCTCATCCACCATAAGTCTTGAATATCATTTCACTTTTCTGCAACTGCTGCTATCTATGCATTTCCACTAGCCAATATCTTTGATTATATTCCATAGATTTTTCATTAACTACTAGCGGTTGGCCATTGATTCCCACGTGGTTCAGGTTTCCTACCTTGCATGGGTGATCTCTTTTAGCAATTTTCTTTCTTCCCACCTCCAGACTTCTTTATTTCCTTGACTATCATTGTTGCCTTTTCCACAAGTCAACTGCTGGTATCATCATCTCTGTTCCTACTTGTCAATACCTTTTTGTGACATTTCCAAAAGTTGTTTTGCATTGAAAATAACAAATGCACTTTCTTGCATATATTTACATTTACAGCTAAACTGAAGGATTTGATAAAGGGTAGATGAATAGTCAGCTCATGATTTCTATCAGATTTAATGTTCATTTTTAATTTGTTTAAAATTAACAGGGCTAATCAGGTCAAAAATTATTTTTTCCAAATAAATACCAATATCTGTCTATATTTCTGAGATGAGGTATTGTAACTATTTACACTATTTACATTGTCTGGACTGTTGTCCTCATTTTTATTGTCATATTCATGATGTTTCGGTCAATCCTTTTCTTTACAGTGTATGGGCAGTGGGAGTAAAAGTTGAGGTATTCATTCGTGTCGTCAATATCTGGCCACAGCAGAGGTGAACACAAAAAGAAGTACTTGGAGAGATGTGTTATTAAAGGGAAATAACTGAAACTGAGATATCCCAAAAAGGCATGGCATGTGGAACTAGAACAATTTATCCCGGTGGATGAAATAAAGGGTTCACCTCGAAATTCTAATGGATATCACCTGAAGAAGGATGGAGTGTATAGTGGCTGAAATGTTGTGAATCTTACTTATTATAAAACGCAGATTGTGTGTGTGTGTGTGTGTGTGTGTGTGTCTGTAACGTTTATATATTGGATCGAATTTCCTACATTTTTCAACCGATTTCAACAAAACTTCACAGGACTACATAAAATTACCTTGCGGTGGTTCTAACTCAATTGTTTTTTGCGGAAAATCAATTTGAAAACACGATTAAGAGGCATTAATGAAAGGGGGACAACTCACATCAGCTTAAAAACCCAGGTTGTTTGTGTGTGTGTGTGTGTGTGTGTGTGTTCATTTATATATGGGATCGGATTTCCTATAATTTTCAACCGATTTCAACAAAACTTCACTTTTTTTTTTGGCAGGTAGTGTTTCTTATTTTCTTGCGCACTTTTTTCTTTATTTTTACATTCAGAATGCTTTAAAAATTCCATTTACAAGACAATTGTTTATAATAAAATTCTATTCAATTGGTAGATCCATAACGATTGAAAACAATGTTTTTGTTTGAGTTTGGTTTTGACCAATTCGTCAAAAAAAAAAAAAAACTAATTAAGACATGCGTGTCCGTCAACCTTAAACAATAATCTAACGATCTCTACTGATTGTACGAATCCAAACATAAGATAATTCTTTAGGGCCGTTTTTATAATTCTCTTTGCAATTTGGTACAAGGCAACGATAATGAATTGGTTCTATTTGAAATTAATTCAGTATTTAAAAGAAAGTATTAAGAAATAATTTAAAAATGCCGACGTAAGAAATCTGATAGACAAAAAACAAAAATATTTCGAAGATGAAAATTATTAAGGAAAGAACACAGTACTTAACTTGTACCCGACTTTTCTGCTAAATTCCTTTTTGGGGGGGGGTTCCTGCAGGTAAGTCTTTTACGAGGGGCTTCTGTATGTCTTGCTTAAGGGTTTACGAGAATTTTCGCCGTTTCATCAGCGAACTTCGACTCATAATTGACATTATTTAAACTTCAATAATTGTCCACACGTTGGTGCTTTTCGGGCGCCAAGGTCATCCCCCTCCTCCTCTTACGGACGGCCTCCATACACGCACTAACGCAACAGGTACGCAATATTCGCTAAGAGAGAGAGGGGGTATTCTCACTCTCTCTTCTTTCACGTAAGGTTTGTGTTGAGAGGGGACGGTGACTATTACAGACTTTTCCCCTACATTAATGACAGCGATATCTATCGTGATTTCCTCTTTCGCTGGCCGATTTTTTTAATAGAGAGTGGAACGTCACTCAAGGTCAACCATCTCTACTGCGTGACTCGGGCGTGCTTTCACACTTTTGCGTTTATTGTTGCCCACGTGCACGTATTTGGCCTACTTTATTCGCCAACTTCGGATACCGCAATTTGTTATTACGTGTTCTAGCTGCTTTTTTGTTTTATTGTTCCAACCCAACCCTACACAATTGTACTAAAAATCCATTTCCTTTTGGATTTACCCTTAGTATACCTTTTTAAATTTCCACTTTTTTAGTTTCGAGTTCCCCTTTAGTAACATCTGAACTCATTTTACTGGGTGTTCCCCTTTTTGTGTCTACGTTAGCAGTGCACGATTTTTGGATTTGTCGAAATCTCTTTTTAAGCTTTACCCTCTTTGACGTTTTTACTGTTTGGATGCCACCTAAAAGGAGGAAACTTTTGGGACGGCGCACGGCAGCTGCCTCCGCTGCTAGAGCAGCGAGGGCGAGTGAAACCCCTGAACAGACTTCTTTGCGTCTTTCACAGATGGCCTCGAGCTCAGCTGCTCGCTTATCCATGGAACGTGCCGCTGCGCGGACTGAAAGGTTGGCTTCAGCGGCTTCAACTATGTCCTCACGCCGCGCCAGGCTTTCAGTTGAAGAACGTTCACTTCAGAATTCACAGGGCGCAGTCCGCGTGGCTAGGTTGAGGGCTTCACAGTCCCCAGCACAGAAAACCCTTCGTCGTTTGCGTGATGCCATCGTCAAAGCTTGCTCCAGGAGTTTAGAAAGCCTCGAACAAACAACTTCATGTCGTCATAGGAATACTAGGGCTACAGCCACCTCTAGAGCTTTGGAACAACCTCAAGAAACTGCTCATCGTCGCTTTAGAAATGCCCTATCCACCGCATCTGCCAGAGCCTTAGAAATCCCTGCACAGACCCCTGTTCGTCGCATTATAAATGCCCGCTCCACTGCATCTGCTAGAGCCCTAGAAAGCCCTGCACAGACCACTGTTCGTCGCGTTAGAAATGCCCGCTCTACTGCATCTGCCAGGGTTGCAGAAAACTCTGAAGTACGCCGTCAACGGCTCGAAAACATTAGCTCATTTCGAGCTTCTTTGAATGGCGTAACTTCGCCGTCTGCATCATTTTGGTCAAATGTCGCATACAGTTATGACTACACTGTCAACTATTCCGCTAGGAGAGACGTACAAATAGGGGCCATGGATAAAGTTTGCACTTTTTTGCAACGCACAAAAGTGGGTCGGTGAAACAACCTGGGCTTTGTTTCTCTGGGGTAAAAATCAAACTCCCTTCTTTAGACGAGCCTCCCCAGCCACCTAGGGACCTCCTTCTGGGTACAACTTCGAGTCAACGCATTTTCTTGAAGCAATACGGAAGTATAACTGTTGCTTCCAGATGACGTCTTTGGTGCGAAGGCTATTAGTGAAGGGGATGGATGCCTACTTTCAAAGTGCAAGGCCAGGTTTACCACTTAATGGGATCACTTTTTGGCTGATCAGGGAAAGCCACCTCAGTTCCTACAAATTTACTTTCTCGCAGAATACAACGAGCAGGTTGATGCGCGTCTCGGCATTCTGCCTAGCGATATTTCCATCGGTCCCCGTAGAGACATTCTGTTCCGTCTACAAGTCATGCTTCACGAAACTAACAGTTACATCCGAAGCTTAAAGTTTGCGTTGCAAAACAACTCTTTGCCCTCTTTCAGTGTTGTCATCGATGCAGACAGACGGCCTCACGGTGAGCATGAGCGTCGCTTCAATGCTCCTGTATGTAATGAAATTGCCGCAGTCATCCACGGTGAGGAGCATAACAGCCATGACATTGTCATAAAATGCCGGGGCGGTGGTCTGCGCCTCATCAGTGAAACCCACCGTTCATACGACTGTCTCCAGTACCCCCTTCTTTTTCCATACGGAAGCGATGGGTACCACTTCAAAATCCCAATATGCCAGGCAAGCAGCGATTCCATGTCGACCTCAAAGACAGTCTCCTGTAGGGCTTACTACGCCTACATGTTTATGGTTAGGGAGGGTGAATTTAACCACTTGCACAGGTGCCATCAACTATTTCTTCAATTCGCTGTTGACATGGCTGCAAAAATGGAGTCGGAGAGGTTAGGATTCATCAAGTTAAACCAATCCAAACTTCGAACTGACTCCTACATTCACCTTCGTGATGGTCTGCGTTCTGATGGTGACCCACGCAATCTCGGCAAACCGTGCATTTTGCCTTCCTCTTACACTGGTGGCCCTCGATACATGCATGAAAGGACACAAGACGCAATGACCTATGTCCGTCATTGTGGGAGGCCTGATTTGTTCATCACGTTCACGTACAATCCGAAATGGGTTGATATTACACGCAAACTTTTTCCAGACCAGCAGTACTCACACCGCCCTGACCTAATTGCCCGCGTTTTCCGGTTACAGCTGCGTAAGCTTATGGATTTGATCCTTAAAGGGCAAGTCTTCGGACGTGCCAAGTGTCATATGTACACAGTGGAATGGCAGAAACGTGGTTTGCCTCATGCCCACATCCTGCTGTGGCTCAACGATAAGGTTGACGCAAACAAAATAGACGATTTTATTTCTGCTGAAATTCCGGATCCTGCGCTGGAGCCTTTGCTCTACAAAATCATTAAAAAAATATGATACACGGCCCCTGTGGTGCGAATTACGAAAAAAAGGTCATGTTGGTCAAGCGGCCCCACTTGCGCAAAGGGTTACCCCGTAAGTTTATCTCAGAAACGCAGACTGCGACGGATGGTTACCCACTGTACAGACGTAGAAGCCCCGCTGAGGGCGGCAGAACTGTGACAGTTAAGGGGCACACTCTGGACAATAGTTGGGTGGTGCCTTATTGCCCGCTGCTGTCCAAGACTTTTGGAGCCCACATAAACGTTGAATACTGCCACTCGGTTAAGTCAATAAAGTACATCTGCAAGTACATTAATAAAGGCAGCGATGCTGCCGTCTTCGGTATCCAGCGCGACAATTGCGTTAACGAGGTGGCCGATTTCGTGGCTGGACGCTATCTCAGCAGTAGCGAGGCCTTTTGGCGAATTTTCGGATTCCCCATACACCAAAGGGCTCCAGCCATTGTGCAGCTTGCTGTTCACTTAGAAAATGGACAGAGGATGTACTTCATCGAACAAAACGCCCAGCAGGTTGCGGAAAACCCTAAAGACACAATCCTAACGGCTTTCTTTAAATTATGCTCAACAGATGCTTTTGCCAAAACATTGCCAATACCCCCAAGTCCCGTCCTACTATGTGTGGTCAAACAACCGGTGGGTTCGACGAAAGGGTGGTGACCCTGTCGAGGGTTATCCCGATGTAAGGTCTAACTTTTGCCTTGGACGCGTTTATACTGTGCCCCCCAGTCAGCAGTAGTGCTTTTACCTCCGCCTTCTACTTCATGAAATTGCTGGGCCAACGAGTTTCACAGATATTCGCACTGTCGAAGGCATAGAATGCCAGTCTTATAGAGAGGCATGCTTCCGTTTGGGATTGCTTGAAGACGACTCCCAATGAGATGCAGCCATGGCGGAGACTGAACTTCTCAGAACGCCATCACGGCTTCGAACGCTATTCGCCATTTTGCTTTTGCGATGCGAACTAAGCGATCCTCTGTCGCTCTGGCTAAAGTACAGAGAATCCATGTCAGAGAATGTGCTGTTCTCCGTTCAGCGTAACAGCCCAGGAGTTGAATGCGGTTTCACTGACTTTATATTCAACAGAGCGCTGGTGGCCCTAGAAGATGTTGTTTTCGAACTGGGACGTGCCTCTTTACCAACTTACGGTTTACCACCACCGCTCAGAGATGGTTTTGACACTGTACCAACTGAGTTATTGCGGGAAACATTCTACTCCATCGAGGGGCTGAATGCATACATTACCGAAAATGAGCCCAAACTTCTACCTGATCAGAGGGTTGCTTTCACTACTATAACAGACAGGGCAAACGGCGCCATTGGAGGTATATACTTTTTAGACGCGCCCGGAGGAACTGGCAAAACTTTTGTTACTAAATTAGTCCTGGCAGAAGTACGGCGTCCTGGGGAGATCGCTATTGCGGTCGCATCTTCCGGGATTGCTGCAACATTGCTACCGGGAGGTAGAACCGCTCATTCGGCTTTTAGGTTGCCGCTTGATCTATACCGGTCACAAACTCCTCTCTGCAACATAACAAAGAATTCGCCACAGGCTGAAGTTCTGCGGAGATGCAAACTTATAGTTTGGGATGAGTGCACGATGGCACACAAGGGCGCCCTTGAGGCACTTGACTGAAGTCTCCAAGACATCCGCGACTCCTCCGACCCCATGGGTGGAGTAACACTTCTCCTCGCAGGCGACTTTAGACAGACTCTACCTGTTATTCCTAAAGGTACACGCGCTGACGCTGTCCACGCTTGCCTGAAGTCGTCTGCTCTTTGGCACTACGTGGAGACTCTTAAACTGAGCACGAACATGCGTGCCTACTTGAATGGGGACTCCAGATCCGCTGACTTCGCACGGGACCTTCTTGCTCTTGGGGAGGGGAAAATGCCATCTGACACACACGGTTTTGTGAAGATGGATCAGTTTGCCACCACTGTTGAATCACCGGATATATTGATGAATGCAGTCTTCTACAACCTATCATCTAATTTTGCCGATGCCGATTGGCTTGCTGGGAGGGCCATATTGGCACCGAAGAACTGTACAGTTGATTCCATCAACCTTAAACTGTTGGATTGCATTCCCGGGCAATTTCATGTTTATAAGTCCATCGACAGAACTTCCGATCCATCTGAATTAGCTGAGTGTCCCATAGAAGTTTTGAACTCCCTTCAGCCGTCCGGACTCCCACCTCATATTCTTCGTCTCAAAGTTGGTGCTCCGATTATGCTAATCAGGAATTTGCTCCCACCTAAACAGTGCAACGGGACTCGCCTCATTATTAAATCCCTTTCTCCGAACCTGATTGAGGCGACCATTGCAACTGGCTGCGGCAAGGGGGAAGTCGTTCTGATTCCCAGAATGCATCTTCTGTCGTCAGACGCAAGCATACCAATCAACTTTCGTCGCTCACAATTTCCCGTGAAGATTTGTTTTGCTATGTCGATTAACAAATCACAAGGACAGACGCTTAGCATCGCAGGTCTGCATTTATGTGAGCAGTGCTTCTCTCACGGCCAACTTTACGTTGGGTGCTCACGAGTTGGGTCTAAGGACAGAGTTTTCATTTACTCTCCCAACAACTGTGCTAGAAACATAACCTACACGGAGGTCCTGTAGACAACCCGCCCGGTAGCGTTTAAGCTCCATGCACACATATGCAGTCCGATTGCATGGCAATTTTTTTGTTTGTCATATTGGTTTTAACGTTAGGTCATCGTAGTCTCCACTTGCCATTACTAAGACGTCTTTGTAAAGGTTATCCAGCTCTTTTGCTGCCTTCTGACTTTCATACCATCACCCGCCATCATCGCGTTTGTTTTCCCTTCAATCCCTATGTATGTTGCAACTAAATCGTGGTTTCAGGACTACTTACCACAAGTGCTTTCAGTAATGCTTAACGATCCAATGGGTTAAAGCAGTAACTGCTGTCAGCTTTTACTCATAGATGTCTTAGTAATGGCAAACGGCTTTCCGTTACTTCCTTCGATACCTTCGAATACTTGGGCCTGCAATATGTCTGCCTAAACTTTGTGTGCATAGCGTTTCAACGTTTTGTAGAAACTTAGTTCCTGTCGACTTACAAAGCACATCTTTCAAAGCAACAGCCGTCCCCAACTCTTACTGTTACATCCCCGGGCAACGCCGGGCTCTACTGCTAGTATGACAATAAAGAGGAGTACAACAGTCCAAACATTGTAAATAGTGTAAATAAATAAATACCTGCATTTAAATTTCAGAAACAATCATCTCTAGAATAATTTATTGAAAACATTATATCAGTTAATCACTTACCAGATAGATTTATAATTTTTCATTCTGGGCACCTCAAGGTGGCGTAATGGTTAGCAAGCATGTCTCGCTAGAACAATTACAACTGAGTAGTGAGTTCGATTCTCACTGGGTGCCCCATACATCCGGCCTTGTGCCACATCTGAGCTACGCTTGGAAAATCACTATACTTTTCCATTCTTTGACTATCAAATATCCTTTCTTAGCAACGAAAAAGTATTAGATTGTCATGTAAGGTTTTTGTCTTTTTTTCATTTCTCTTTGAGATGTAGGTGATCATGGCTCTCCACAGATTCCTTTACTTTATTATCTGTAAATTTTCATGACTTCATGGAAAAGATAGGAGAGTGGATTTCCTATTGTTGTGTCCATGGTTCAAAATTCAGAGTTTACCTCCTCTTAGTCATTGTCTCAATGCCATCTGGGTGTGGGAGAAAAGATGGATTAATGCCTTTTGCAAGGGCATTTGTTTAAAAGTGAATTCAATAGACTAGAGTAGAATCTGAATATGGTTCACCAATTTCACTTTCTGTCCAAGTAACTGTAACACATCGCTCACACAAGCTACAGAGTGTAAATGGATTGGCAGTTTTACTTTCACAACACTAGCCTTGAATGAATGAGTTCTTTGGTTGAAAGGAAATTCTTATCCAAAGAATTATTTAACCTTGTACAATCATATTGTAACAACCTGTGTTAATTTCACCCAAGTTGTTTTCTATTACTACAGCAGGATATGACAACACAACTATGAAATTCAAGCACTATTGTTCAGGGATCAGAGTCACCTTCAGTGACAGGATAAACTTTTTGTACACCAAATGTAGTCACATACAGAGTAATAAAGGTTAATTTATTAATCTATTTATCAATATTACTCACTCCCTATCTATCTATCTATCTATCTATCTATCTATCTATCTATCTATCTATCTAAGTCTCCACTTTTTCTGCCAGGATGCTAGATGGCATTCTATTTTGAGCTGTTAAATGAGAGAACATAAATCCTCTATCTCTCTTTCTCCCTCTCCCTCTTTTTTACTTCAAGATTCAGTACATAGATGTATCTAGTCTTCCCCTTCACGGGAGACTTAGTCACATAGCAAGCTGACTTCTCAATTTCATTCAACCATGTTACACAAACACACAAACACAGATAAGCAGATAAATGTTTTGTTTTTTTCTTTTTTGTATTATCTGTATATATGTAACTATAATTTTCTTAGAGAGTGAGTGACCATGGTTAGATGTAAGTAAATGACAAAATTGACAAAGTTTGCAATGAACAACAAGAAAAGAAAAGAACATGACAAAAAATAATATAAAGCAAACAAACAATATATGCAAGGCAAATTAACAGTAATAAGACAAAAAGTCCACAAACTAAGAATTGGGGTTGACACACAAGAGCTAATTTGGATAAGCAAACATAACGTTCTGACTTCAAGACAAATCAAATGAAACAGAGAACTGACCTATTTTATTGCCTAGGAAGAATTCCCAGCACATCTTTCTGTGCTTACACCTATAAACTGGGGTGAGGCAAGTGTTTTGAAGTCATTCTTAGTTGGTTTGGAATCAACATTTCTCTTTTTTTTTCTTTTCTTAACTATGTTGTTCTTTATATGAATATGCATATAAAATCCTCCACATGTTGAATTCATTTATTTGGAAAGACAGCAACCTCATTTGTTAGCACCTATCCACTACAAGTCTATTCATATGTATCTATCTTCACACTCATAGTGTTTCAGTGATCATTAGAATTATTATTAGGTGTTGCACTGACATGTCTTTAGATATTTATGCCATATTTATTATGAATGGAACTAATAGATACATTTCTTTCTGCCCTGACAGCCATTCTGATACAATGGACTTGGAATGGAACTGGCATTGCAAGTCACTGATAAGAATTATGCTTTTTGAATTTAGTCTCGTTCTACATCAATTTAAGCTTCATAAATATCCATTTCATCTTCTTACTTGTCTCTGACTTAATCACATATATTTTCTTGGAATACAGACAATGCTTAGGGGCAAAGCCTGTCAAACAAAGCAATGAAAATGAGTTTTAATTTTCATTATTACTATTGAAAAATTATAGCCTTGCACCTGATTTGTTTTGGAAGTAACAAAGCTACCTGTTTATGAATCTCTTCATTCCAGTTTCCTCACTTATTTATATTACTCTATCTATTCTTGAATAGTGCACTGATGGACACGAACACACACACACACACACACAAACACACACACACACACACACACACACACACACACATGTAGAAGCATACATTCCAGAGGAAGGCCAAGATCTCTGTCTTTGTTTTCAGTTCTACTGTTTAATGATGTGACAACCTTGGCCAATTGCCAACTGATCATAACACTTCAATGTGATAATTTACCAACACCAACTAAGCAACATGCAAGGGAAGTTAGCCATTATTTGAGTATTAAGAAGAGTTCAGTCATGGGTGAATATTGGCTGAAAAATGTGCTATGATTTGGTCCCAGCATGATAGCCATTGCCAAGAATTGATGGCCTTGCCAGTTGTCTAAGCTGAATTAAGTGAGTGGGAAGAAGATATTGATGGAAGTAGACATTGCTAATCATTTGTTTCTCTCAGTCCAGCTTCAACATTCGACACTATTGATGACTTTGTGATTGGCTTTAAATGGTGAATAAAAGAAAAATATTACCTTCCATTGATTTTTTGTTCTTGATTGGATTAGTTTTTATTTTTATTTTTCTTTAAGGTACTTTGCTGATCTGACTATTTGTGTCAGCATTTTTGTAGACATCTGAAATAACATAAAAATATTGTTTACTTGGAAGGTTTGTGCAGGTGTTTATATGAAAGCACAAACACATTATAGTTGATTGTTTGGGCCAGCTTGCTGGCTGAGACTGTTGAATGTTTGCTTCTGTAACAAAGTTATTTTGAAGGCAAGTAGGCCATCCATATTTGGATAAGTGATACAACACAAAATACATGCTCCCTAGCAGTCAGTATATACCTGTATGTACCTGTAAAATTTGCAATACCAATAGAAGATAATATATATTATTATATCAATGTTTGCCCATTGGATGATATACATTGTAAATAGAATGGTATAAGTTTCATATGCATGTTCATGAATTCATAATCCATTATATTGACATAGATAGATAGATAGATAGAGAGATAGACTGATAGACAGATATAGACGTAGAAAGATAGATTCAAACAGAAATATACAGAAATTCATTAATTCATTTTCTACAGCTTATCAACCATTTTCAGGTTATTTAAAGCTAGAAAATATATTTAGATTGTAAGAATTCTTTAGACCATAATGATTTAGTGCTATAGATTTTATGAATTAACTTGCTGGAGGGAGAAGAGGTGGATTCATACCTTTCCCAAGGGTATTTGTGCATATGTGAATTAAGCCAACCCAACTGGAATTGGAACTTGGCTCTCCAATTAACAATTCCAAGCTGTTATCTATAACACCACCTGCACATCTAACCTTACAGGATGTGGTATTCTTAAGCAGACACTCGTCTAGGTACTGACTAGGCTTGATGTTGTTTAACTTGAGTGATCATGTGGGAACTGGTGTTTCAATATGATATGGCCATAAGAAGAAAGAAAGAAAGAAAGAGACTATGATAGCTAGCTAGCTAGATACATAGATAGATAGACTGACAGACAGACAGATAGATAGATAGATAGATAGATAGATAGATAGATAGATAGATAGAACAGTCTTATATCATCTAACATACCAAACCGTATTGCTATCTAATGATCTGGTATGACAATGTAAATGCTCTTCATACATATTTGTACATATTAGATATCTAACTATATTTATCTCTCTATCTATGATTATATTTATCTAATGAAAACACATGTACACATATATGTTTGAAGCTGAATCAAGAAGTCTCCGGCCTAGTATAGTTAATAGGTAAGATTTTAACTAAACTGTTCATTGTATTATATTCTATATACTTAATGGAGGTTGAGATGGAAGGAGCTTATGCTAAAATAATATTTATTGTTTAAAATAAATAAATTTTCTGTCATCATCAGATAGCACACATACTGATGAATCTGTGGTAGCATACTGATTTTACTATATTTTGTATTTTACAGTAAGTTTATTTTTCCCTATCCCTGTTAAAAATATACTTTTTTGCTATATAATTTGGGTTTCATTCAAATTTGCTAGTTAAAATTCCTCATTAAAATATTTTCATATTTATTTTTATGATATTTTACATAAATATATCATTTGTTTTTAAAACTAAACATTTTGTAATGAAACTTTATGTAGAATATAAAATTGTAGACTTGTATTAATTAACAATAAAGAGCAAAATTTGTTCCAGTCAGAAATTTATAGTTATGTTTGCTTGATGAATAATGATAATGTAAAATTACTTGAGAATAAATTCAAGTCTATAAACAGGTTTTCTTTTATGACAAAATAAATAAAATCACAGAGAATAAAAATTACCTTTTTTTTATTTAAATTCAGACTAAGTTCTTCATTTCTTTTATTATTATTACAATTTTAACTGTTCTATCTCCCTTCCTTATTCAGGTGTCTGTCAATCTAAGTAAATTTCAGGGGATTTTGAACTTTATCTAAATATCTAATGAGGATAGACTATTGTTGTTTCATATCTATGAATATCTCACCTTATTCTCTTTTTAGTACTGCCCAGTTATTGGTAGAGTCTGAGTCTATACTATCCAAACCAAGGATTGAACTAACAATTATTATGTCACCAAATTCACAGACCAAAACTTTAACCCTTCAAGATATTATCTCATGGGACAATACTGAATCTAAAACTGGAAGCCTTAACTGTAACTAGCTTCAGTTTGAAATTCCTTGAAGGTTACACCGGTTGGCAGATGCCTGAAAATGCCGGAGGGTACAACAATTGAAACATTGTGATAATAACAGCAAAGATGAGGACATTAGTTAATGCTAATAATGATAACACCTCACTCCAGGAATTCAACCAGAAATTATCATTACATACTAAAATATCATTTATACTGTCACTGGTTTGAATAAGTTCAATCAACATAGCACTGGAAAGTGTCAATATTAATAATATTCAAATTTAACTTTTGAATATACACCACGAGCATTCTTATGATTGCATAGATTCTTTAATATACTGTGTTATTCTGTAGAGTTTTTGTTAAGTACACAATTACATAACAGGCAAATTAATGATATTAAAACTACTTACAAGAAGTTTTTTAGTTCTTTTTTTGTTCATTGAGAGCTTTTATATTTGTATTGATCTATAACTATAAGGCATTTACTTATGGTAAATGACAAAAAAGCTCCTATTAATATAGATAAGGAGTAACTATTTCCTATTCATATTAAAATGAACAGAATAATGAATACCAAATAACCTGGAATTTATTAGCCTTGCTGTGATGGCATTTGATGCTACCGGACCATTGCAACCCTAATCTGTAGTTGGTGACAGTTGATAATGCATGCACGTATAAATATAGGCATGTTTTTAAAAGTGGGTTGGTGCAGCCTACTAAGGTTCACTTCACTCTTTTCAAAAAAAGGATTTACAAATATTAAAGTTTGAAATTAACAGGAATGCTAAATGTGAGCTAATAATTGAAAAAAGAAGTTAATGATTTGAAAATGTAGCAATAATATGACTTTATTCAAGTCATGATCTTATGAATACGTTAGGATATTATTGTTACACTATAACTATTTATTCATGCAGCAACTCCTATATTTATTTTATGTATATGTTCTTGTTCCAAAAGCTCATCTTGTCTTTTTACTCCATTTACAATGTTGATTAATCTGATGTAGAAGGTTTTGGTAGTGGAATTAAGCCATGTAAAAAATTCATTTCATCAACAAAGAAAAAGAAAGAAACAG